AAGCAACGATAACGAAGCACGTTAGTCCCCTCCTCTATCTTTTGAATGAATAATTCAGTGTAGATATTAATGGCAACCAGAAATTTTAATGACTCTCATAGAATATCGATGAATATGCACCAGCTGAAGCTTTTGGCTAGGACTTAGATATTAAATAAAGCCTGTATCTTTGGTGGATACAGTTTTTTAGCCTGAATGGGCTATCCAAAATACTTTCCTCCTTTACTTTGATACTTTCACATGAAAGGTATATATGTCTTTGAGCATTATATCTGTTAAGCCAGGTCTTGGGTTGTTAAAATTTATTTGGACAAGGTGGATCTTGGGTTGTCATAATGCATTTGGTTTGCCTTCTTCATCCTGACATCTCTGAATTAATAAATGGTTCAACCTTGAGGCAAAAGTCTGAACCTTCTCAAGTCTGCACCTTCTCAAAAGGAACAAAAGTCATATACAAAGATAAATTGCTCATTGTGCACAGGCAGCAGTCTTACTGATATGAATCCTGTTTTATACAGGGCTCTTCTATTAATTTTTACGTTATTTCCTGCTTTTATTTACTTGCATATGACTAGGTAATGGAATTTTTAATAACACTCAGAATGAGTTCATAATTTCTCAGTTTGTTGTCAAGTGTTGGAAAAAAGTTTGAAACAAAGCATATTGTTAATCCCATAAAAACACAGAGGGAAGATATATTCTGAGCATGCTGTTACAGCTCTCTAATTGGAATTACTTCTTATTCCCCAATTTATGTTGAAGGAGCAAATGACAGTTCCTAAGCAGTTGGAAAGTGAAACAGTCAGTCTCCTGAGAATACCATTTATGACTCTCTGGGTTTTGAGCATAAAATAACACATTTCAAAACAACAGTGAAGAAACCAGGTTTTAGTCCTCTCTCAGATAGGGAGTAATTTTAGGCCAACCATTCTTTCTCAGCTTTTTTTAAAAATCTGTCTACCAGCCCACAATGGATCGTTCTGATAGGTTATAGTCCATAACTTTCATTGAAGAGATTTTCACCTTTTAAAGGCTTGATTCAGACGAATAATCAGAAGAAGAAGAACTCAATACACTTCAAGCATGAAACTTTTTATAGGGTAGTTTAAAAATAAGTTTAAAAACCTCTGCATACTTTCAACTGGCATTTTCAATTAAGTTTGGTATTTATTTTCAGAACTGTATTTGATGTACTTATACAGGTAGTCCTCAATTTATGACTGTAATTGAGGCTTCAACTTCGGTCATAAGTTATGACAGTTATAAAGTGGGTCACCACATGACTGCACCTGATTTTACAATTAGGTTGTTTCTGGTTTTTTTGCAGTGACCATTAAGTAAACACAGTGGTTGTTAAATGAACCCATTGTTCATTATAGGGTAATTTTTGCCAGAAACTGGAAAAATGTTGTAAATCAGTCATGTGACCACAGGATGTTGCAAATAGCTGCAAATGGAGGCCAGTTGCCAAGCACCTAAAATCCTGTTACTTGACCGTGCAAATGTTTGAACTTTAAATCCAGGCCGTAAGTCCCTGTTTCAGAATCCACTGTAACTTAAAATGGTCACTAACAGACTGGTCATAAGCCAAGGACAACCTGTAGTCCCATGCTGCCAAGATTTGCCTCCAAAAAGCTATTACTTAGTTCTGCATGTGCATTTGGGATAAAACAAGATACGTTTTTGGTTGCTGCTGCCATCAGTTTCAGGTACCTGACTATGTTGGGCTAGATGAGAGTTTTCTGGTAAAACTGACTGAATTTCATTCACATGCTGCCATCTACACTTACATTGAGGTATTCTAAATTAAAATAACTTTCCTAAAAAAGGCATTTTTCTCCCCCTTTCCATAATAAGTACAAATAGTCCTTGTTTAGCAACTGCAATTGGGCTCAAGCTTGATCATTAAACAAAACAAGGGCTAAGTGAAACTGCGACTGTGTTTATTATGGTTTTACTTCAGCTTCCTTTTGCTTTACAGACTTAAAAATCAGTGGTGGGTTGCTACCGGTTCGCACCGGAGCGGGCGAACTGGTAGCGGTGGTGGCGGGAGGCTCCACCCACCCACCCGGATGCTTCTGCACATGCACAGAAGCGGCACACACGTGCGCAAGCAAGCGCACGCCCACGAGCGAACCGGTAGCAATGGGTTTTGAAACCCGTCCCTGTTGCAAATGTCATAAATATGACGGTGAGCTGCAGAGTTATTTTTTCATCACTGTCTTAAGTGTGAATGGTTGCTATACAAGGCAATCACTAAGTGAGGACTAGTTGCAGATACATTTTTCCTACTGTTTTATTGGATAGCTAGACAGAAGACACAAGCTACAGTTCACAATATACAAAGAGCAAACCCAGGTACTTTTCTCATAACTCCATCTAATTTGTTCCATGTTAGCCAGCTTCAGTCACATCAGGGTTACAAGGCAGCAAGCTGCCTCTGCTGCATGACAGATCACTTTCTGAGAAGGAAACTTTGTTATTTTCAAGGGTCGCTATAGCTTCTTTTAATCTGGTATCTATTACTGCCTGGCTTTCTGACCCGCTGCTTTTTTTCGTTTTCCTTTTCCTGTGGCTACTTTTTTGTTTTGGTTCTTTCTGCTCGACAGTGCATTTCTTATCTCGTATCTTTGTCTCTCTCTTAATTCACTTTAGAATTCAATGCTATTACTGCTGTTAGTCAAGAAGCTGAATGCGGAGATCAGCATCTACTTACAGATCTTTGTAGAAAGCTGCTGAGGACTTTGTTCACTAAAGCAATAAATATTTTAGTTTTGAAATACAGAAAGGAGGATTGCTTGATGGTGCCAATAAAGAAGACAGTGCTCAATATTAAAGGTAATTGCTGAGGTTTTTAATCAGATAACCATTCAACAAAATGTCAGGTGCTGTTAAAAGCATGTCAACTACTGGCAGTTTTTCCATACTGACTTTTTCCGATTATTAATCTTTCCAATGGCATTGAGAGTCAAAGAAGATGGTAACCCCTACCTGGCCTAGGCTGGTTCCAAAAGAACTAAGCAGTCTTAGTTAGTTCTTGGACGGAGACCACCAGGAGCTATAAGAGTGGGAAGCTGAAAAAACACACCTTTGAATAAAACAGTTGTGACAGCATTCATTTTGTTGCCCAAAACTATCTGTGTCATCAAGATTCAACTTAAGGGAGTTCTGTATTTTTTTTTTAGCATTGGTAAACCAGAACATTTCTCTCTGAGATCTGAAACACACGCACATGAGATCTTTGGGTAAACTTGGAGCCAACTTCGTTGGATAAAACTGTCCAGCTGATGCCACAGGAGATACATGATCCTTCGCTTAATCAGGCCCTATACCATGTAGGCTTAATAAGTCATAACCAATACTCTGAATTGCACCTGGAAGTTACTAGTAACCATTACAGCTTGGGAAACATAAGTGTCACACAGGCACACCAAAACATGTCCATCACTATCTATGCCACTGCATTCTGGAGCAGTTGAAATTTCCAAGTGGTCTTCAAGGGCCAATGTAATGCATTGCAGCAATCAGGTCATGAAATTATTGGAGAGTAGTTGACTGTATGAAGGGCCTTCTAATCTAGGAAAGAGTGCAGCTGAGGAAGATGAAGCTGTGCAAAAGGTCCTCTTGACCATAGCTGCCACCTGCTCATCAAGAAGGAGCTGTGAGTTTAGGAGTACTCCAGATTGTGTACCACCCTTAAATGGGGAAGTGCAATCCCAATCAAGACCAAAGGTTGAGTATTTCCATATCTAGATGGCCCCAACTATCACAGCTACTCAGTCTTGGTAGGCTGAGTCAGAGACAGACCCTCCCCATCCAAACTTCCATGTATACCGTAGTTTTCAGGCCCTGGGATACTATCTCAACAGCTTCCCCTGGCTGGCCAGGGGTTGAAAAATATAACTGTGTATCATCAACATACTGTGGATACCAAATGCGGACACAGTTGAGCCCTGCAGCACCCCAAAATGGAAGGGCCTAGAATACAACCTCTTCCTCCAAAACAAATACTGATTGAAACCAGTTCCAGAGGAAGGAACAGAACTACCAAAGATCAATGTATGCTACCCCCAAAAGTGCCCCCTATCCCCAACCCCTATCCCAGAATACCATCAACTGCAGACCTACCATCTTTTGAACAGCTTTCTCTAAAAGGAAAAGGTTGGAGACAGGACTACAGGTACTTAACAGTGTTGCATCCAGGGATGACCTTTTGAGGAGGGGGCACACCATAACCTCCTTTAAAGCAGCAGTACTGCCCAAAGAGATTGACACCATAGTATCAACCCAAACCCAGGTTACTTCCTTAGCCACTTTCACAATCCAGAAGGGTGGTTGATCCAATACATAGGTGGCCAGACTGATAACTGTGTCCACTTCCTCAGGAGTCACTGGTTCAACCTCATCCGGGATTACACCGCAAGATCTGATCCCAGGCATCTCAGCTGGACCTGCCCAGTCAGATTTCAAATTACCTATGCTCAGTCAAACTCACTCTGAACCTTTACCCAAGCATTTCTTCTGGCATTCTACCTCCTAGAACTCACCAGTAAACCAAGGTGCTTCCTAGGATTAGCACACTTGGAGAGGCAATGCAAGACCCCAGCCACCTGCCCATTTCAGGCAGTGACTAAGGCCTTGGTTGAACTTTCCACCAATACTTGAGGAAAACCTCAAGCTTTCTCTGGAAACTCTTTCGTTCTGTGGATCACCAGGGGTGGGCTGACTGAATGGGTCCTATATCCCTCCAGAGAGGGATGACACAAGTGAACCAAACGACAATCAGAAAGAGATCTGAAGTTTTCTTTTTTCATCTCTCCAATATGAAAGAAAAGTTGGAATATAAATTGCAGAATGATTTATATCAATATTATGAACAGCTCTCTGGCAGGAAATGCTGGAAACTACACATGTTCAGCACATTTTTATGTAAGTCTCCACCTAAGGCACACCTGTTAAAATCTAATTCACCCTGCAGCACATTTTTGTTTCTTTGTTACCTGGAGCAGTGAATAGCTTGATGTCCAGCAATATTAAAATAGAAATCAGTTGTATGTTTCATTTCATCTGTATGCCCAGAAACCTCAATCCAGTGTCCTATTGGGAGGCAGTAAACTCCATCAACTAAATTGCATGGGTTATAAATGCTGGTTCGATCATGATGGGGTCCATTACCTAAAACAAAAAGAAAACACACATACCACAATTCAGCAGAAATCATTAATTAGATTATATTTGAAAAACAGGATTTTCCCACCCCTTGCAAAAAACCCTTGCATCCTATGAGGGTTTTTGAAAAGTATATGGCAGGCCATTTTTTTCAGGTTTGCACACAACAGACGAGATTAAGATTGTTTAAGACTTAATGATAATCATAGATATTTGTATATAAACATCTAACATTCATTAGAAGATACAAAACAAAATCTCTTTTAACTATAATTTTTTGTTTATAAGCTAAAAATTGCATTCTAAATAACTTATTCACTATACATGTTTTAGAAACCAATACCAATGTTTTATCTCATTTTTAATATTGTTATTTTTCTTATTCTAAAACCATTGCCAGAAGTACTATTTAGAGCAGATAACTGGTAAATTATGTTCAGAATTAAAGTAACTTGAATTCTGGTAACTATTAGGTACTAACTCAGTCCCAGAATTTTTAACATAGTAAACAGGCATAATTTTCTCATTGCTTGCTTTCTTATGCCATCTGCTGTATGAAAAATGGTGCATGCTATGATTTGGAACAGTTTATTTTTGAAGCTATTGTTTTTAAATTCAGAAATCTAACAAATCATATTGTATAACTTCCAGGCAGACTAGCTGAGATTCAGTAAAAATAAGATGCAATCTAGCAAAAATGACTAATTATATCAGAAAGGTAGATTTTTGTGTTGTTGTTAGTTGCGAAGTCGTGTCCGACCATCACAACCCCATGGACAGCTTTCCTCCGGGCCTTCATGTCCTCTACCATCCTCTGGAGTCCATTTAAGCTCACGCCTACTGCTTCAGTGACTTCATCCAGCTACCTCATTCTCAGCCGTCCCCTTCTCCTTTTGCCCTCCATCGTTCCCAGCATTAGGCTCTTCACCAGTGAGTCCTTCCTTCTGATTAGGTGGCCAAAGTATTTGAGTTTCATCTTCAGGATCTGGCCTTCTAAAGAGCAGTCAGGGTTGATCTCCTCTAGGACTAAGCGGTTTGATCACCTTGCAGTCCAAGGGACTCGCAGGAGTCTTCTCCAGCACCATAGTTCAAAGGCCTCAATTCTTTGGTGCTCAGCCTTTCTTATCATCCAACTTTCACAGCCATACATTGCAACTGGGAAAACCATAGCCTTGACTATACGCACTAGATTTGTGCGTATGTAATATCAAAATCAATTAAAATAGGCTGTACCACAATTCTGTACAAAAGAATTAGCCCTACAAACCCAAAGACAGATAAAGATTAAAGAGACTGGAATCATATCAAAATCCAATATAACCTTTACAATTTTTATGATTCCCAAAGGATATCTAGGACCATTAACAGAATATAAATTCAAATGAAACATTTATGATACAGTAATAATCTCTTTTGCTGCAGAATATATCTCTCACCCAATGTTCACTTAGGAATTAAGCCTGAGCTCATTAAGCTCTCCTTTTTAAAAATCTTTCAACATGCTTTTCCATAAATCTTTTGGAACTGTAATCTAATCTATAGTTTGGAGGGTTTTGTCATTGTTGGTCAAGATTCCTGGAGAGCATCAACATAGTACTAAACACTGTGGTTGTTCTGTTATTCTAGGGTTCTTCAGAAGCTGGTGGACAGGCTACCATTTCCTACACAGATTTCAATTTTTCCTTTCCCAGATATAATGCTTTAGATATTGAATTGAACATAGGCGGAGACTGGACATAGGTTCAAATCCTGTCTCCAACATGGATCCTGATTAGGTGATGTAGGGTCAATCTGTTATTCATATCATAATACTGAATGCTGGTTCGTTGTGGGGAAAATTTTGAAGAGGGGGTAATATGTACCTTGTCTTGAGCTCTTGGAGGAAAGATGGGGTATAAACCATATAAAAATAACTAAATAAACATAAATACATACAGTACATTTCAATATTAAGAATATCTATTCAATATATACCTTGACTTTCTACTTTTTTTTAAAATTATTATTTATATGCCGCCCTTCTCCGGAGACTCAGGGCGACTTACAATGCGTTAAGCAATAGCCTTCATACTTTTGTATATTTATACAAAGTCAGCTTATTGCGCCCATAATCTGGGTCCTCATTTTACCTACCTTAGAAAGGATGGAAGGCTGAGTCAACCTTGAGCCTGGTGAGATTTGAACTTGCAGTAATTGCAGGCAGCAGATGTAAGTGGGTGTTAATAACAGTGCTTTAGTCTGCTGAGCCACCAGAGCTCCTTACATTACTTAAGTAATGACTCAAGGTTGCTAACAAAATTTCTAAAAACATTAGCTAAATTAACATTAAACCTAACATGGTAATAAAAAGCTAAACAAAAAGATACATTTTTACAATTAACAGTGAGCAATGGGGACAACTATAAATCTCTAGGGTGTTCAGTTTATAGCTTAAGTTTTTGATATTGCGAGCAGAAACTCTTCAGAAGAGTTTGCCTTGGAGATCACAATTGTCAGATAGGTTATCAACAGAAGAGGCAGTCCCTCAGACTGTGAGGCCTTAAGCTATTTTAAGATTTTAAATGTTATTACCAACATCTAGAATTGCACCTGTTCAGCCACTGATGATCTGTACAGATCTTTCAGTATTACCATTATGTGATCTGTATACCTATTCCTACATTTTGCACAAATTTAAGCATCTGGCTTTTTATAGGGAATAGCTTAAGTACACTGTAATAAGACGAACTATAACTAAGGGAACGATAAATGTAAAATCTAAACGTTAATGAAGGAAAAGTTAGCTACTCTCAAGCAAGAAAATGACAATTGCTACTAAAACTAAAGTCAGTTAGAGTTGCTTCTCTGATTCATTCACTCATTCATTCATTTACCAACCCTGTAACAATTCTAAGTGACAAAAAGTATACTTTATTTTTATTTTTATTTTATTTTTGAATTTGTATACCGCCCTTCTCCCTGAGGACTCAGGGCGGTGAACAGCCAAATAAAAACATCAAATACAAATATTAAAACACATTTAAAAAATATATATAGATTTGGCCCCATTAATTAAAACGATAAACAAAACAAAACAATTAAAAAACCCTTAAAAAGAAATTAAGCCAGCCCGGCTTGTTGAAAAAAGAAAGTTTTAAGGGCACGTCGGAAGGCACTGAGGTCATGGATTCTCCTTATCTCAGGGGGCAACTGATTCCAGAGGGTGGGTGCCCCCACAGAGAAGGCCCTCCCCCTGGGGGTCACCAGCCTGCATTGTTTGGCTGATGGCACCCCGAGGAGGCCCTCTCTGTGGGAGCGCACGGGTCGGTGGGAGGTCGTCGGTGGCAGTAGGCGGTCTCGAAGATAGCTAGGCCCTATGCCATGGAGCGCTTTAAAGGTGATAACCAACACCTTGAAGCGCACCCGGAAGACCACCGGGAGCCAGTGCAGTTCACGCAGGAGCGGTGTTACATGGGAGCGCCACGCTGCTCCTGTCACTACCCGCGCTGCTGCATTCTGGACCAGTTGGAGCCTCCGGGTGCTCTTCAAGGGGAGCCCCATGTAGAGAGCATTGCAGTAATCAAGGCGAGAGGTTACGAGGGCATGAGTGACTGTGCACAAGGAATCCCGATCAAGAAAGGGCCGCAACTGGCGGATCAGGCGAACCTGATAAAAGGTCCCCCTGGTTACAGCCGTCAGATGTTCCTCCAAGGACAGCTGCGTATCCAGGAGGACTCCCAGACTGCGAGCCCTCTCTGTGGGGGCCAAAGACTCGCCCCCAATAGTCAGTGATGGAGTCAACTGACCATATCGGGATGCCGGGAACCACAGCCACTCAGTCTTGGAAGGGTTGAGCTTGAGCCTGTTCCTCCCCATCCAGATCCGTACAGCCTTCAGGCACTGGGACATCACTTCAAGGGCATCATTGGGGTGGCCTGGGCTGGAGATGTACAGCTGAGTATCATCAGCGTACTGATGGTATCTCACCCCAAAGCCACGGATGATCTCGCCCAGCGGCTTCACATAAATGTTGAACAGGAGGGGCGAACTTGATTACTGTAAATAAATAATAAACTTGCTGTTGTTAGACACAAGCTATAGATCCAATTATTCAACATACCCATTCCTACATCTTGTTTCAGAAGACATGAAAATAAAATTTAATGGGATCAATCAATGATAATTGATTATGGATTCTGCCCCTTTAAACATATTGAACATGCGCTCTTATAAATGTGTATAATAGATGTTTCAGAACCTCTGGCTATTCTTTAATTTACACATTTCTTACTTCCATTCACAAGGTTTTGTTTTTTTTAAAAAAAAATACAACCCTCAAAAATCAATAAAATCAATAATCTACTCTCCCTTAAACGTATCATACGCAAAGGATCAGGTCCACATGTGAATATCCAATTTATTGCTACTCATGCCTATGTACAGGAATATTCTCAACTAATGGTTAGCTCCTGCTTGGAGTTAGATAAGAATCAACGGAATTCTAGGGTGGTTGGACTTAGTTTGCTTGTGGCTACGTAGGGATTCTAAGATGATCCCTCTTTTAAATCCGCCACCAGGTTCTGCCAGTCCTTCTCCCACAGCTAAATAATAAATGAAATCATAATAGAATAAAGCAACAGTTAAACAAAGCAGGCTCAAAGCAGTTGACAAACACATTTCTCTTAACAGCTTTAGCTTTTCAGTTTCAACAAATGTGAGCATAAGACCCGTGGTGGCGCATTGGTTAGAATGCAGTACTGCAGGCTACTTCTGCTGATCACTGGCTGCCAGCAGTTTGGCAGTTCAATTCTCACTGGCTCAAGGTTGACTCAGCCTTCTATCCTTCCAAGGTCGGTAAAATGAGGACCCAGATTGTTGGGGGCAATATGCTGACTCTGTAAACCGCTTAGAGAGGGCTGTAAAGCACTGTAAAGTGGTATATAAGTCTAAGTGCTATTGCTATTTTATTTATTAAAAGATACCATCAAGGTAATATTTAATCTAACTTTATTCACAATTATGGATTT